ACTTAATATTGAAAACCCAATGACAAGTTTTCTTTTGATGGCACCTATATACATTAGAGTTATTTTATAATACTTTTAATTAAAATTAATACAAAGTTTAGAAATTATTTATATATTATTAAAGCATTAATATAAATAATAAATTTTTTTTAATTTATAATAATTCACCAATTTTACCAATCTCACTAATTTTACTAATTTCACCAATTTTATCAATTTTACCAATTTCATCAATTTTACTAATTTCACCAATTTCACCAATTTCACTAATTCACCAATTTTATCAATTTTACCATTTCACCAAAATTTAATTTTGTTGTAATTTTGATAAAATTATTTCACCATTTTACCTAGTGAAATTAAATAATTTCACCAGCATCATTAATTATAACTAACAGCACTCTAGTACTTTTCAAAAACAACAAACATAAACTCAAATATGCTTCTCTTATTCATCATAACATCATCTCTGCAATATATAAAGAATCTTGGCTCTCATCTAGAGCAATACAACATGACTCCTTTCATCCAACTCCATTACCACTACAGACACCAGTATTAAACAAGACTAAACCAATTTTACTCTTCTTACTAAATAAAAAAATAAATCAATACATTACATGTGGACAATTTTCTCTTAGTCATCTTATCATAAACTAGAGGTCTACCGATCATTCTAGCAAAAAATAGGTCAAGAGTAAAATAGCTCTTACCTTTATCTCCTCTAGCTTAGTTTATTCAACATGTATCTTATATATACAAATTTACTAATTAATAAAAGAGATAGAGGATAGACCTCTCTTTTAAAAAAAAAAAAAATAAAAAATAAATAAATTCTTAAATAGTAGCAAAATATTATTCTTATTCAACTTTTAGATATTTTATTAAATTTTTAGCTTCTTATTTAAACATATTAATAACTATACTAAACTTTATACTTATCTTTTTAAGTCTTATATCTTGATAAAAAGATATACTAATAACTTTTTTTTGTTAATCTAATTAACTTCATATACTTTATTAAACTACATAACTATCCAATATTAGACAAACAACAATATACTTTTCTTTTTTAATACTAAAAGTTTTAGTATATAATTATATATTTACAATAATTTTAACAAAGACCTTTAAATTTAAGAAACTTCAAACATTATTTTTTTGCTAGATTCAGCATTTTAAAAGTTTTTATACAACTACTTTGTTTTAAAACTTCTTAGAAACTCTTGCATCTACCTAATAAAAACTATACTAAAACAAATATATCAAATTACAAATTATTTAGTATAGTTTAATTAATAATAAATCTTAAATTGGCATATTTTTTAAAATAACATTAATTGGTCACTAACTTTATAATATATATTATATAAAAAAATATTTGGTTTTAGTAACTAATCTAGCTTCTTCAATACTAAAAAACTTTAAAATCAAATTAATATCTAAAAAACTACATATTAACCTTCTTTTTTATTAAAAAAATATTATAAAACATTTAAACTATCTTTGTCTAAGGTGTTATAATGCTTCTAAAACTATTGTACATCTTTTAACATACTTTTAAAATTATTTAAATCTTGTAACTTTAATAAAATACACAGTGCATAAATGTTAGACAAGCTAAAAATATCTTGTTATAATAATAACAATTTTATTTAAATCTTTATCTACAACTATATTAACAAATAAATAACACTAAAACTAATATCTAATGATACTCTGATATTATTCAAAAATAACAACTATAAGTATAAACATGCTTTTTTTATTTATTACAATATTATTTTTACAATATATAAAAAAAACTGAACCTCTAAGATTAATAACATAGCAGTTATGCTTCAAGATTATAAATTGCAAGGTTGCTAGTTTGAATCCTAGTGACAGCAATTGTAGAAATGTATTTCTAAAATAAGAAACTGCAACACCATGAAACCAAAGATCCAGGATGTTCAAAAGATAGACTTATTTTTGAAAATGGCAAGTGATTTGCAGTTAAGAAGCCACATAATGATGAATACAAGTTGGAGCCTAATTTGGAATAACTAAAGTTATGAGACATAATGTGAGGCTAAAAGTCTAATTATGAGGGATACTACATAAATTCATAGCAATAGTCATTTCTTGATAGAGCCTGACAAAGCCTTCTAATACCAGCAGAAATTGGTGTAATAATCACTTCTGAAAAGTTTAAAAGTACAGATCAAAAAAAATTAAAACTCAGTATCTGGGATTATATTGAGAACATTAGTTTGAAAAATACAATAGACATACTAAAAAATTATGGCAAAACTAGTCAAAAAGTAAAAAAAAAAAAAAAATAAAATAAATAAATAAAATCTGGCTTACTTTAGAGCAATATAACATAATTTACTTTTTTAGTTCTATTACTATTATAACTACCAATATTAGTTAAAACTACATTAATTTTACTTTCTTTATTAAATAAAAAGATACAATACTATGTTATGCATAAACAATCATCTTTTTATTAATTTATTAAAGACTAGAGATTTATCAACTATTCTAACAAAGAATAGATTAAATATAAAGTAACTTATTTTTATCTTTTCTAGTATAGTTTTTTTATATATATCTTATATATATATATAATTAATTAATAAAAGAAATTGACTTTTTTTTTTAAAAAAAAATATGCATTTTACTATAGTATAAATTTTAATAAACAAAATTTTTAAAAAATATATTTGTATATATTATAAAATTTTCAGAATTGTCAAAGATTTGTTAGATTACACAAAGTTATTAATTTTGATTAGTTTATATTATATAACAAAAAACTTTAAATGCATATTTTTTTTTTTTTTCAAAAAACGCTAATACAAAAAAACTCTTTCCGCTGATCCATTTGTACAAATTCAAAAAAATACACAATCGATGATAACACAAAAACAGTATAGAAAACCCACAAAAGAGTTATAAGAAAGAAGAAGCAGAAAGATAAAATACATAGAAATTGTATAAAGATATAGCAGCTAAAAAGAACTTAAAAGGCACTAGAACAGAAACTTTGAAAAAACAAAATTTCTTGAAAATTTTTTTGAAAAATTTTTTGGGAATTGTCATCAACTCTGAAAACAACAAATAGAAACACGTGACTAAAAGCAGAAGTAAACAAACAAGGATATGTACAAATTTAGTAATAGATAGAATACACAACAAACAAACAAAGGTAAACAAACAAATACAACATATGCAGAAAAAT